TCACAGAGCCCTTCTGGCCACTTCAGCCAGTGTGTCAACCATCGCTCTATTACTCTCATTATACTCTTGCCTTGGCCTCCTGCTGTTCTGTGGAGGATTCTACATCACTGCAATTACCACCTTGGGACCTCCAGACTGAAGCGTTCCTACTATGTAGTCTCTTGCTTCCCCTCTGTCTCCTCTTTCCAGCTTATGAAAATCCCATCGGTTTTTGATCAGCAGTGCCACTCCACCCCCTCTGCTCCCTGTCTTTCCTCAGGATCTGATATTCCATTGGAAAGATGGCATCTGTTATCATACCTGTGAGCTTGGTTTCTGTGAGAGCTATGATGTCCGGTGATGCCTCTTTGACTCATGCCACTCCTCCCACTTATTCATTATTCCATCAACGTTGGTGTACCATACCTTCAGTTTCCTCTCCAACACTGTGCTTTAGGAGGTCTGTAAGGGTGGGGGACCTGGCAGTGTGCTGCAGGATTCTACAGCATAGTGTGGGGTGGGGGCTGTGTGGGTTGTGGTCTGTGTTGGGAGAGCGTGTTTGGTTGTGGGGCTCTGGGGAGGGTTCTGTTTGTGCTTGCTCTTGTTGCTCTGCCCTCCTCTGGTTGTCCTCTACTGATTTTATCCTTGTCTCTCTTCCTAGCCCCTTTCGCTTTTGTGTCCTCTCCCTCTGTTGCTGTCATTCTGTTTTTGTTCTGTTTCAGTCTAGGAACACCCTCTCGTATGCTGACGATTCCTTCAACCGGGGTTTCTCTTGCACGATCCTGTTTCGCACCATTTCTGTCTTGAAAATCAACTTGACCAGATGATTTCTTTCCTTCAAGTGCCCCTCTATTCTCTGAAAATTTAAAATCTCAGACATGTCCTCTTCGCCTATTTCTTTGATGTTCTCAATCTTCTGCCTTTCTCCATGCCGTCTTTCATTGTGTGTCCTTCCTTCGCTCTCCTGAAGCCCATGAATAAACAATGATTTCGCCTCTCCTCCTCCCATTGCCTTTCCCTCTGTGTCTCTGGTTCCTGTTTGTACATTGCCATTTTCTACCTTATTTTTTTCCCTGTAGCTCTTGATGGCATCGTCGTGCCTCTGCACATGACCTATCCCCCTGTCCACCTTCACCCCCCTCCCTCACCACTATCCCCTCTCCCAGCTGCTCTTACCCCTCATTCCTGGGCCCAACTTGGTGGGCTGATAGAGCCTTAGCATAAGTTATGTCATCTTCCTTCTTGTGTGTGTGTGTGTGTGGTGTGTGTGTGTGTGTGTGTGTGTGTGTTAAAGTTTGCCATTTTCTTTTAGAATAAATATTTTCGATCTCTCTCCCCTCCCTCATTCTCTCTCCACTCCCTCATTCTCTCTCCACTCCCTCATTCTCTCTCCACTCCCTCTATTCTCTCTCCACTCCCTCATTCTCTCTCCACTCCCTCATTCTCTCTCCACTCCCTCATTCTCTCTCCACTCCCTCATTCTCTCTCCCCTCCCTCATTCTCTCTCCCTCATTCTCTCTCCCTCTTTCTCTCTTCCCTCTTTCTCTCTCCCTCTCTCTCTCTCCCTCTTTCTCTTCTCTTCCTC